GTTTTTATTTATTTTTGGGACAGAGAGAGACAGAGCATGAACGGGGGAGGGGCAGAGAGAGAGGGAGACACAGAATCGGAAACAGGCTCCAGGCTCTGAGCCATCAGCCCAGAGCCCGACGCGGGGCTCGAACTCACGGACCGCGAGATCGTGACCTGGCTGAAGTCGGACGCTTAACCGACTGCGCCACCCAGGCGCCCCGAAAAAACAATTTTTAGATCTCTACTCCACGCCATATACAAAAACCTCCTCCTGGTACATTAAAGACCTAAATGTGAAAGGTAAAATAATAAAGATTTTTTTAGAATTATTTAGGAGGATGTCTTCACGATCTTGAAGCAGAAAATAATTTCTTAAACAAGATATAAGAAGCACTCACCTGAAAGGAAAAGATTAATAAATTAAGTAAAAGTGTTGTTCACTCAAAGATACATAAAGATTGAAAAGCGAACCACAGAATCAGAGAGATATTTGTTACACATACACCCAACAAAGGATTCAAATCTGTAATATATATACTCCCACATATCTGTAAGGAAACAATGCAATGAGATTGATCAATATTATTGACAACCCATGTAGTGAAAAGTGAAATTTAAATGAGTTACATGCTAACTCATACACACTGAAATTTAAAATCTGACAGTATCATATGCTAACACAGTTGCAGTTGATGGGAGCTGTCACACAATGCTGGTGGGAGTGTAAATTATAAAGCCATTTGGAAAACAGTTTGGCTTTTTTTAAAGGTTTATTTATTTTGAGAGAAAGAGTCAGAGAGAGAGAGAGAGAGAGAGGAGTGGGACAGGAGCAGAGAGAGTGAGAGGGAGAGAGAGAGAATTCCAAGCAGGCTCCATGCTGTCAGCACAGAGCCTGACATGGGGCTCGATCTCAAGAACCATGAGATCATGACCTGAGTAGAGATCAGGAGTTGGACGCTTAACTGGCTGAGCCACCCGGTGCCCCAGCAAATGCTTTTTTTTTTAAAGATCACCCCAGGGGGCGCCTGGGTGGCGCAGTCGGTTAAGCGTCCGACTTCAGCCAGGTCACGATCTCGCGCTCCGTGAGTTCGAGCCCCGCGTCAGGCTCTGGGCTGATGGCTCAGAGCTTGGAGCCTGTTTCCGATTCTGTGTCTCCCTCTCTCTCTGCCCCTCCCCCGTTCATGCTCTGTCTCTCTCTGTCCCAAAAATAAATAAAAACGTTAAAAAAAAAAATTAAAAAAAAAAAATAAAGATCACCCCAAAACCCACCATATCTTTGGCTTATGGTTTCTCACGTGCTTGTAGTCAAGCTGTCAGTCATCTCAAGGCTCTACTGAGGCTGGAGGATCAGCCTTCAGGCTCCCTCATGTGCTTCTCACCTTGGGGGCCTCTCCATCAGTGCTTGAGTACCCTCACATCATGACAGCTGGCAGGGCCGACGACATGCGGAACCCCTAGTTCAAAAATTATTCAGAATTTCAAAATAGTCATAGAGTGTTAAGCCAAGTGTGGAGCCTTCTGAGCCCGTGTAATTGCATTGGTCACACCCCTTTGAAGCCAAGTCTGGCAACTGGTGACCTGGATGAAAGAGACAGAGAGTCAGAGAGCAACCAAGACAGAGGCCACAGTCTTCTTGCAACCTACTCTCAGAAGTGACACCCTACCATTTTTGTTGTAGTCTGTTTATTAGATGTAAGTTACTAGGTCCATCTCACACTGAGGGGGTGGGGGTCACACAAAAAGCATGGATACCAATGAGCAAATCATCTTAAGGGCTGTCTACTGCAACAACTATTTATGAGATAAGCAGGGAAATTTGAACACTGACTATTATTAATTGCTTAGGTATAATGATGGTATTGTAGTTAAATTAAAAGAGGGTTTGCTTTTGGGGCACCTGGCTGGCTCAGTCAGTAAGAGCATGAGACTCTTGATCTCAGGGTCATGAGTTTGAGCTCCTTGTTGGGCATAAAGATTACTTTAAAAAAAAAAAAAAAAGAGGGTTTTCTTTTAAAGATATATACTGAAATATCTGCAGATGACATAATTTGATGTCTTGGATTTGCTTCAAACTAATATGGAGTGGGAGAGGAGTGAGGGAATAGAGGAGACAAGACTGGCCATGAGATGACCACTGTTGAAGCCGGTGATGGGTACATGGGAGTTCATTATACTCTATTTTTGTATGTGTTTGACCTTCTACACACACACACACACACACACACACACACACACAGAGCCTTGTTTTGTCTAAGACACTAAATCAGCTCACTAAACTCATAACTGAATTCAGATGAGCACACCGTATGATGTAAGTTGAAGATAGGCCCTCAGGGCAGGAGCTGTGGGCTTGAGACACCAAAGGATGCCACCATGCATGTTAATCCATTTGCTTCAAAACTTCCAAATTCTCATGGTGCTTCTTAAAAAGTAGGGGCACCTGGGTGGCTCAGTCGGTTAAGTGTACAACTTCGGCTCAGGTCATGATCTTGTGGTTCGTGGGTTCAAGCTCCATGTCAGGCTCTCTGCTGTCAGTGCAAAGCCCACTTCGATTCCTCTGTCCCCCTCTCTCTCTACCCGTCCCCCACTCTGAAAAATAAATAAACTTTAAAAAAAGAAAAGAAAAGAAAGTAAGTATAGAAGAAGGAGCTGAAAGAAGAGACTGGAGTGATTGGCATATGGAAGAGAGACAACACATACCAAATTGGAATCATGTCAGTTAAGTGGGATCCTTGCCTCGCTCTCCAGCTTTATTTCCAGTCCTAGAGGATTCCCAGGGTCTTCTGCTAACTAGACTAGGGGTGGAATGGGGCTGCTTCTGAGCTGTTGGAATTAGAGGTCTTATTGTTATGATGTCTGTTTTCCATGATTAGCATGAAGACCTTGAAGTGAAGGGTGTTTAAGCCTCTGATTTAGAATTGAGGTGTAAATAGCATGTAGTAGAAGTAGAAGCTAGGAATCAAAGGAGATAATAAAGGTGCTAATTAAGAGCCGTATAGCCAGACATATTGTTCCCACATTCTGTCAGCTACATACTGGATTGTTTTTATTTTAAATATTCTTTACAGTTTTTATTCAGGGTGGCTTTTAAAAGCCAGCCTACCTTTTCTTACTTAAATTATCTTGTTTTTCAGCCCTGACGTTTAGTTTGCTGGCAAGGCAGCTGATTCCTCCTCTCAATGTCTGTTACGCAGCTTTCTGTTCTTCAGTAATTTATGTCATTTTTGGATCGTGTCATCAAATGTCCATTGGTGAGTTCAGCACTGGAACCACAGGAGGTGGATAGAGTCTCTGTCTTAATCGTTTCCTTATTGCCAAGAACCCAAATTAAAACTGTGTTTCAGGTACAAAAAAATGGAGGCAGAAGATGGACATTCTATCCATTTCAGTGTTCAGATTTTAGAGACTGAACACTTCCAGGGTGTCATTATTAATGCCACCTCCAGACAAATCGGCCGGCGAGCTGTTTCCCAAAGGAATTAAGTGGCAGGAGGTACTTCCCTTGGTGAAATTACCACACGTTTGAAATCTGACTGCCCTCAACCTGGAAGATTCAGAGGCAATTTTGCCAATATTCCTAGAGTGCATCCATCTTTCATCTGGACCTGTAATAACCAGTCCGTGGCCTACTTTCTAATAGTTGTGTTAGCTTATAATTTACAGTAAGAAAATGCTGTCACAGTAATCAAAGCATTCAAATCCAAGGATAAGCAGGTCCCTTCCCTGAGTCAAAAGTCCGTCTCCTAATTTATATTTAGAAATAATTGTTACAGGCACCACACTGGTTGAAGGTCATAGAAGCAGCACATTTTCTTCGCCTAGGTAAACTGGCATAGAAATCAAATACAAAACGCCCAATAATGTTGGAAGGGCATTGCCAACAGCTGCTTAGTGAAGTGCCTTTTCCTGACCTTCCCCACTGAACGACTGACCACCCAGGCAACCTTGACCATTTTGACTGACACACTTTTTCTCCGGATGTGTTTATATATTCAGGCTGGTTACCATCCCATCGTCCTAGATGCAGAGTGCTACCCTGCCTTTTTTAAGGACAATATCCCACGTCTTTACTAAAATCCATTATGTGTTGATTTTACATTTGGACACTGAGAGGACACTTTTATTGCCATATTTCCAGGCTCCTGGGGCACACTGCAATCATTTCCAAATACAGATAATAAGGCACTTAGAGTTTTATTTCTGTTAGGTAGTTTAAAGGTAAGATTTGCCTTTGTTCCCATATGTCGATGCGAGGACTAAATGAAATTATGTTTGAAACAGGTTAAGCTCAGTGTCATTTTGCACCTAGTAAATCCTTCATAAGTGTTAGGTGTTATTTTTTTCTTCTTATTATTATTGATTAGCTTTGTTTTCTGATCCTCTCACCACCATCTCACTTTTTACTGTCTCTAAGACCAGGTAAAGTGGCTGAGCCTGATATGCAATTTCCCCTTGATCCCACTCCATATGCCCACTTGCAGAGAGGGTAATATGTGGACACCAAGATCTAAATGCTAGGAGTTGGTCACAGCATGTGGAACCAGAGTTCTTTCCTCTGCTCTTTCTTACTTCTCAGTGGCCACTTTCAAAAGAGAAAAGTTCTTGAGATCAGAGGCAAAACAACATCAGACCATACCTTCCTTCTGTCCACTATGTCAGTTTACCTGCATTTAAAACTTCAGTGGGGCGCCTGGGTGGCTTAGTCGGCTGAGGGTCCGACTCAGGTTCAAGTCATGATCTCGCAGTCCATGAGTTCAAGCCCCATGTTGGGCTCTGTGCTGACAGCTCAGAACCTGGAGCCTGCTTCGGATTCTGTGTCTCCCTCTCTCTCTGCCCCTTCCCTGCTCACAGTCTCTCTCTCTCTCTCTCTTAAAAAATAAACACTAAAAATTTTTGTTTTAAACTTCTCTTTTCTGCCTAAACACCTTCTTTCATAGGTTCCTACTTCCTTGTGAGTGCTCTGATGATCAATGTCCTGAGATTGTACCCGTTCAACAGTGGCCACCTGATTCTGGGGGCTTTCATCAAGGATGACTTTTCTAAGCCCTCCTTCTTTGAGGACTATAATAGATCCTTGAGTGTGGTGGCATCCACAACTTTTCTGACTGGGATTATTCAGGTAGGATCTGAGTCTCTGAACCCCTGAAATAAACAAAGGAGCTACAAACAGACCTCTTCCTTTTGTTGGTCCTGTTATCCATTGCGATGTATGTGAGACTTTAGTGATTTATTTGGGGGAAGCCTATGGGATGTGTAGATACACTCTCCTCAGTGACGAAAATTCTTCCTCCTCCACCCACCACTGATTCAGGATGAGATACTGAACAGTCTCATCAGTCCTTTCCATAAAGCTAAAGAAGGGCTCCAGGGACTATGGTCTAGAGTCCTATTCACGATTTTACGTTTAAAAAAAAATTCTTTTGGGGTGCTTGGGTGGCTCAGTCGGTTGAGCGTCTGACTTCAGCTCAGGTCATGATCTTGCGGCTTGTGGGTTTGAGCCCTGCATCAGGCTCTGTGCTGACAGCTTGGAGCCTGGAGCCTGCTTCAGATTCTGTGTCTCCCTGTCTCTCTGCTCCTCCCTGTTCATGTTCTGTCTGTTTGTCTCTCTCTCAAAAATAAATAAACATTAAAAAAAAATTTTTTTTAATTCTTTGTATTTTTTCAACAAGAATAGCACTTGTAGGCTTACATACTATATCTTGGGTTAAGTAAGCATTAGAGTCAGACCTGGAGTTCTTTTCTTCAATGACAGAAGCACAGTTAAAGGACAATAATATCAATGACTTATTAAAATATCGAAACTTATTTTTGGCATGTCTTTGATTCTCTGTGAGAATTTACCATCTAAAGCTTCATCCATTGACCTAAAGTCACATATGCTAGCTTTATTTCTCTTTCTTCTCAACCAATCAATCCTCTGTCTAGCTAATTTTTGCTGATCTCTCCTGAGACCATCTTTTATTAGGTAAGGATTTATTGGGAACCTACATCAGGCTACCAGAGTGAGCTGACTCCGACCCTGATACCAGCTATATAACTTACCTAAATCACCTTACCTTTATGAGCCTTGGTTTCCTCGTGTATAAAATGGAAATAATAACATTTGCAGGACTCTTAGGATTAAATGAGAAAATACATGTAAAGCACTCAGCTCAGAGCCTGTCACATAGTAAGCATCAATATGTTATAATTACTGGGCACAGAAATATGAATTTGGTACTTTGACAGAGATCAAAAATAAAAACGTAAATATAATTCCTGTGGTTAAAAAATTCAGTCTTGTAAGAGAAGACAAACTAATGGGCAGTCAGCACCCTCAAAAATAAACATTAAAACTCATTTGTTTTTGAGTCAGTACCTCAAAAATAAATAAACATTAAAAGAAATTTTTTTTTAATTGGGGCACCTGGGTGGCTCAATTGGTTGAGCGTCTGACTTCGGCTCAGGTCATTATCTCGCAGTCCGTGAGTTCAAGCCCCGCGTCGGGCTCTGTGCTGACAGCTCAGAGCCTGGAGCCTGCTTCAGATTCTGTATCTCCCTCTTTCTCCACCCCTCCCCTGCTCGCGTCTGTCTCTCTCTCTCTCTGTCTCAAAAATAAATAAACATTAAAAAAATTTTTAATAAAGGAGGAGACATTCCATTTCCAGGAAGATGAAATCGATATACTTTTCCCTATTCCTCCTGCTAAGTACAATTAAAAACCTTGGAACATTATACTAATAAAGCAAACATAAGAACACTCTGAAAAGTGGAGAGAAGAGGGCAAACTGACTCAGAACCACCGGACCCAAGGAATAACACAGTGATGAATTCCCTGGGCTTTCTTTTTGCCTTGTATATTTCAGACTTGGTGCTGAAGAAGCCAGAAACCCAAAATGCTAATAGGTGAAGACAAAGAAAAATAGGAAGAGAAAAAAAAAAAAAAAAAAAAAAAAAAAAAAAAAAAAAAAAAAGCCCTAACAGATGTCTGTTCTTTATAGCCACAGCACCAAGAAGAGGCTAGCAAGACTGAAAAGTTATTTTACATAATAACTACTATACTCCAGACAAACACCAAGAAAAAAACAAAACAAAACTGTGGTATCAGCCCCCTCATACCAGCAAAGGCCAACTGAAGAGCCCAGACCATATCACTCTTACCCACCTGTAATAAGGTGCCCACCCACTCCCAACTGGGGGTTGTCAGAGAAGGCCAAATAAGGAGTCAACACTTGCACTCCCATTAGGCAGTAATGAGACACTCTTTCCACCCTTTGCTGGGGTGGTGTCAGAGATGGCCTCATAGAGGGGACAACCCTCTCTGCTGCAGTGTCCATGGAGGCCAAGTGGGAAGAAGTAAAGACATTCCTGTCTCTTCCAGCCAGGATAATATGAGCAGAGGGCTAGTGGGGAGCCAGAACTCCCACCCCTGCCCAACAATAATGAGGAGTCCCCACTGCCTCAGCAGTCAGTGGAAACTGAGGGGAGAACCTGGGCTTCTACATCTATAGGCAGTAACAAGATGGCACCTGCCCCTTCCCCTGCCAGCACTTTGTCAAAATAATCTAGCTAAAACAGAATATTTAAATAAGATCTAGCATCTTCTAGCACAGTGCCCAAAATGTCTACAATTGAACTGAAAATTACTTGTCATATCAAGAACCAGGAAAATCTCAACTTGAACGAAAAAAGACAGTGAAAAGATGCCAATACTATGATGACAGAGATGTTAGAATCCTCTGGCAAAGATTTTAAAGCAGCCATCCTAAACATGCTTCAGTGAGCAATAATGAACATTCCTGAAACAAGTGAGAAAATAGAAACTCTCAGCAAATAAACAAAGTGTGAAGAAGCAAATGGAAATTTTAGAGCTGAGAAATACAATAACCAAAATTCAAAATGGAAAGAATGGACTCAATAGGAGGATAGAGGAGACAGAGGAAAGAATGAATGAATTCAAAGAAAGAGCAATAGAAATCATCCAACCTGAACAACCGAGAGAAAGTAGACAGGAAAAAGAAATGAACAAAACCTCAGAGGCAAGTAGGGTGATAATGATATACCTAATATACCTAATATTGGTATCACAAGAGTCCCAGAAAGAGAGGAGAAAAAAGATGGGGCTGAATTACTTGAAGAAATAACAGCTGAAAACTCCTGAAATTCGGCAAAAGACATAATCCTACAGATTCAAAAAGCTGAGAAATTTTCAAAAACTAAATCCATAGAAATACACACTAAGACGAATCATAGTCAATATTCTGAAAACTAAAGACAATGAAAACAATCTTGAAAGCAGTGAGAGAAACACTTTACCTATGGGGCAGGGGGGTGGACAACTCATATGACAGCAGATTTCTTATCCATAGAGTCCAGAAGGAAGTTGCACAATATTTTCCATTTGCTGAAGAAAAGAACTGTCAATCCAAAATCCTATACCCAGTGAAAATATCCTTCAAGAATAAAAGGGAAATCAAGACATTCTCAGATGAAGAAAAACTAAGAGAATTTGCTACCAGCAGACCTACCCTAAGAGAAAAGCTAAAGAAAGTTCTCTAAACAGAAAGGAAATGATAAAAGAAAGAATCTTGGAACCACTGGAAGGAAGAAAGAACAATGGAAAGAGTAAAAATATGGATGAATATGATAGATTTTCCTTGTCATCCTGTGCTTTCTAAATTATGTTTGATGGTTGAGGTGAAATTACAACACTGATGTGATTCAAAATGTATATGACAGGAATATTTAAAACAATTACCATTGACCTTTGAACAACATGAGTTTGAACCACACAGGTCTGCTTATATGCAGTCTTTAAAAGATAAATATAGTGCAGTACTATAAATGTATTTTCTCTTCCTTATGATTTTCTTAACATTTCCTTTTCTCTAGCCTACTTTATTGTAATAATATAGTATGTAATACACATAACATACCAAGTATGTGTTTATCAGTTATTTATGTTATTGGTAAAGTTTCCAGTCAACAGTAGGCTAATAGGGGTTATGTTTTTGGGGGGGCGCCTGGCTGGCTCAGTAGGTGGGACATATGACTCTTGATCTTGGGATTGTGAGTTCAAGCTCCATGTTGGGTGTAGAGATTACTTACAGTTAAATCTTTTTTAAAAAGGAGTTAAGGGACACCTGGGTGGCTCGGTCGGTTGAGTGTCCAACTTCAGCTCAGGTCATGATCTCATGGCTTATGAGTTCAAGCCCCACATTGGGCTCTGTGCTGACAGCTCAGAGCCTAGAGCCTGCTTCTGATTTTGTGTCTCCCTCTCTCTCGGCTCCTCCCCTGCTCATGCTCTGTCTCTCCTTCAAAAATAAATAGATATTTTTTTTAATTTAATAAAAAAATTTAAAAAGGAGTTAAGCTTTTGGGGAATCAAAGTTATACATGGATTTTCAACTGTGTGTTTTGAGGGGAGGGTTGGTGCCCCTAACCTCTGTGGTATTCAGGATCAACTGTAGTTCTGCAAGATGCTACTATTAGGGCAAACTGAGTAAAGAGTACACCAGATCTCTCTGTACTGTTTCTTACAACTGCATGTCAAACTACACTTATCTAAAATAAAAAGTTTAAATTTAAAAAAGAAATCTGCACCAGATAATAATGTTTAACATTTAAGGCTACGTGCTAGTCACTGTTCAAAACACTTTACATTAATCATCTCATCTGATCCTTACGACTCCTTGTATGAATGTAGGTATTACTATGACCCTATTTTAAGGGAACAAAGGTACAGAGAGGTTAAGAGAATTGCCCAAGGTCACACAGCCAGTAAGATCCCAACTGGGAATTAGACTGATGGTTGTCTACCTCCAGAATCCACACTTCAGATAATTTTAAAGTTCAAGCTAATATTACTAAAAGTGAAGTGTTTTGTGTCAAAAGAATATAAAGTACAGGAATAACCTTTAGTTGGTTGGAGTTGTCTGTGAAGGAAACAACCACATATTGAGACTTTTCTTCATTCACTGAAACTTTAGTACTTTCTTTTTTTTTTTTTTTTAATGCTTATTTATTTATTTTGAAAGAGGGAAAGTACATGCATATGAGCTAGGGGAGGGGCAGAGAGAGAAGAGAGAGAGAACCCCAAGCAGGCTCCATGCTGTCAGGAGGGAGCCTGACTCACGGCTG